TCCACCCCTGATACCTGGGGATGAACTTGTCTCGTGTTGCATCTTCTCCCACAGGACAAAAAGGGCAAAGATTACTTGTCCCACATCTTCGAGGATAAGGACCAGAACAAGGATGAGAAGATCGAGTTCTCCGAGTTCCTGTCCGTCATAGGGGACATCGCCACGGACTACCACAAACAGAGCCACGGAGCGCCGGCCTGCTCCGGGGGGAGCCAGTGAGCCCAGCCCGCCAGAGCCTCCTGACCCCCACCAACAATAAAGTGTTGTCTGAAATTATTTTTCGTGTAAATGCGTTTGTTCCCCGTGTCCATCATTCCTTGTTTGCCACCATCCAGAATCCCCATTTCCAGAGGTCGGCTTCAAACTTAGCGAAGATCCGGAGGGGCGGGGCCAGGTAAACGCATAATGGGAACCCGCAAACAGCGCGGTCGGGACTCCGGTCATCACCTCCCAAGCAAGAGCTTCATTCTAAATTAATGCCGTTCACGTGGACCACCCGGCTCCGTGAAACCACATCTAGGAGCATCGGCGCCCTCTGTCCCGCAGGCCCACACAGCCGCCTTAGAGGAACTCACGGAGGATCTGCACCTGTGTCCACGATGCTCCGCCCACGTCTAGTGTGACTACCCCTTCTCTGCTTTCGCTGGATAAAGTGCAGCCTCTATATTTTGCCCGTTCGCTCCCCACAGATGCCCCCACTCACTATGGCACCCAGCTTCCCTAAACCACAGCTATGCTCTGCTAAATCATGGAAACTGCACCTCTCCTTGCTGGCCCTTAATTTACGAGTTTCCCCCAATTAGTTCTGCTTTTTTTTTAACACACAATTTTGTTTACCAAATTCTTGACACTCTGGACAATGAGACCCTGGGTCAAACTGACCAGTGTGCATGCATACAAGGGAACTTCATTTCAGGGACGTGCCCAGGGAACCCCATTTCATCTGCCTTCATCCTCCACCAGCGAGTGGACAAAGCACGGTCTTAAGCCCCACTTGGCTTTCACTGGCCAGTATTCTTGGCAGAATGAGTGGGGCGGAACACAACAGAGAATTTTCCTAAGCACTGACCCTGCGGCCTGCCCATGGTGACAGAAAATCGGCAGTGTGCCACAGTTACGGAACCCGTCCTCGAATCATCTTGTTTGCTCACAGCGCTGAGGAGGAGAGGTGGAGTCACGTGTGGCGTGAGGACCTCGCTCAGCTCTTAGCCGCTTCTCGCGCGTGTACGTTGGGGCTTCTTCCTGAGGCCCTCTAGTCTCATTAAACCCCAACAGGAAGCTCTTCTCACACCCCGAGGCTAAACAAGGTCACATTCTCCCATCTTCCCGACCAGCAACATCCAATGTCAGCTGCAGGGCGAGTACAGGGTCCTGTTTCCTCCTGTGCCAGGAATTCTGGAGAGATGGGCACAGCATCCCCTTCCTGAGCGTAGAAAGAGATACGCACAAGACGTTTGTCCCTTGGAACCTCTTTCCTGGTGGGTCCATACCCGTTTATGGTCTCGTCTTGACATTCTCCCATCTTCCCGACCAGCAACATCCAATGTCAGCTGCAGGGCGAGTACAGGGTCCTGTTTCCTCCTGTGCCAGGAATTCTGGAGAGGTGGGCACAGCATCCCCTTCCTGAGCGTAGAAAGAGATAAGCACAAGACGTTTGTCCCTTGGAACCTCTTTCCTGGTGGGTCCATACCCGTTTATGGTCTCGTCTGTGTTCTCTTATTGTCTAAGACACCGGTCCACTGAAGAGTCCTTGACTTTATAGTTAGCAAGTAGTGGCGATGTGAATAAGACTCTAGCCCAGCCTGCACTCAGGCGGGAAGGCCAGGACACCTACAGAGACGGCGGAGGAAGCGCGAGGTGGGTGCCAGTAAGCGGAGGCAGGAGCGGGTGGCGAGAGCAGGGGGGGTGCGTTCAGCACCTCGGACAGCGTCTCGGGATGCCTGATGCCTTCAGGGTTGTTGGGTTGGTTTCTCTGTGTTGGCTGTCATGTGGGCGTGGGCTCGGAGTTGTCTATGTTTCTCCCGTTTTAATTCCTAATTACTCTTAAATTAATTGCGGTTTAGTACGTTTCCGAACAAACCTTCATTCCTGGTCGGTATCATTATAAAATTCACGCTCACAGGCGCTGCTCCGTACTGGCCTTCTTCTGATCGAACGTGGACACAAGCCCCCACTCGACTCCTCTTTGGCAAATGGTTGAAACCAACTCCGTTTTTGATCTGGTGACAGTTTGGAGCTCTGGACGAGGGCGATGGGTGTGGCCTGACTTCTCCCCGTACATCAGCCCTCTTCCACCCCGTGGACCCCCGGGGAGGAGGGACTCACACCTTCCACTGCCCCTGGCATGGCACGAGCTGCGATGTCACGGGAGAAATGGGCATGACCACCGTGGTCCCCGCCCTCAGGGAGATCACACCCCGGTGGACGCAGGGACAGGCCTGGAAGTTCTCACAGAGCGCGATGAGCCCCATTTTTGACACGAGGCTCCGCGATGGAGAATGTGACCCTGACTTGGGGACATGAGGCAAGGCCCCCCCTAAGGAGGTGGTTCCTCAACCAGAGCAGATGGGTGAAAAGGTCCTTCTCTGCAGGCCGCACGCCGATTTTCACGGTGCCATTGGCGACGAAACAAGCACTGTGAGTCAGAGAAACAGAAGGCTGGCGGGTCCCCCAGAGGCCGTGGAGCTGGCAGTGGACATTTGCCTGCCGACGAAGGACGCATCAGCCGTCCGTGGGTGGAGCATCTCCGTGTCTGGGAAGGTCAGGGCTGCGGCTCTGATAGAAGCCGGTCGCGGTTCACGTTCAATTTTTTAGTCTAAATTTGCTTTCCGGGGGCCTTTCTAAGTTTCACAGCTGACCTCTGGGACTGGAGGTTTCAGATTGCTTATCAGATTGTTATCACACTGGGTGGACGGACCGGGACTCCCACAAATGCGTTTAAACGAAAAACAGCCCTAGATACTTATCATGCGCCAGGTGGCTGGTGCCGGAGTCCGTGACGCTCAGGCAACTGTGTTCCGTCACAGACTCGACGTCTGGACGGAACACAAGCCTGGGAACCGTGACACGGAGTGGTTGCTGTCCCAGCAATGAGGTGAGGGACGGCACAGAGAGCAGAGGACGTTCCCGTGATAGAAGGGTAAGAGCGTCTCTTCCAGAAGGAATCTCTAAGGAGACGTCGACATCTAATCTCAGTCACGAAATATGATTTCAACCCAGCAGATGATGCGCGGACAGACGCGTCCGGCGGAGGGGGATACAGACAAGGGACGTGCAGGCAGGAGACGGTCAGGCATGGTGGGTGCGGGTTGAGAGGACTCGGACCATCAGGACCCAGGTTCCCAGGATGGGGACAGGGAGGCTGGGCGCAGAGCAAGGCAGACTCCAGCTCCTGGGGGCCCTAAGCCTGACGGTTTCCAGCAGTGACCAGCAGGCTTGTTGCAGGAGGACAGAAGACAGCGCAGGGGTGGGTTCGGGGGTGGGGCTGCAGGGAGGTGTGGGCCCGAAGACAGTAAGCCCCAGGGAGCCTAGCTGGACCACTGAGAGCAGCTGCTGTGACAGCTCATGCGGTGCAGGCTGCATAGGGACAGAGCGGGCATCTCAGGGAGAGAAGGTGACAACGGCATCTCAGGGAGAGAAGGTGACAACGGCCAGGGAAGCGGACTTCCCGGGTTTGAGAGCAGGCGGGAGGACAAGGAAGGAGGGGGGACGTAGACGGGCCTGACCAGACCCTGAGATGTCGTGGACAAAGAGCTCAGACCTGTTTCAGAGGGTGACAAGGTGCAGAGTATGGCCAGCAGAGGATGACTCTGGAGCGGAGGGAGGTGACGGTCTGGGTACTGAAGTGTTCCAGGAACGGCGTGAGCAGGGAGTGGACAGTCACCCCCTGGATGAGAGACGCCCCCTGCGTGCTTCTTGCAGGTGGGGTAGATTGGCAGACATTTGCCTGACCTCTGTGCCAAGTGTCCCCCCATTTAAGGGGTGAATAGGAGCCTGTGAGGAGGAAGTGGGGGGCCACATGGCCAGATGAGACACGGTGACTCCGTCTCACCTCCACAGGGACACCCACACTGCTTGCACACGCACAGCACACAAGGACTCCAGTCCCTGGGCACTGCCGAGTTCCCGTTCACAGTGACACGACCTCCTACATCCCGGGTCCCCACCCAGGAAGCCCGTTTCGCTGCTGCCATCTCCCCTGTGCCCTCGGGGCCGTGCTGGGGCAGGGGCAGGTGGGCATGAGGCACAGAGCTGAGACCTGGGCTCCTGCGCCCTGGGGTTCCCTGACCCCTGGGTGCCGGTCCATGATCGAGAAGGAAAAGCTCGGCGGAGCCCCGCAGGGTGCTCTGTGCGGCTCACCTCTGGGACCTGGCAAGCCAGCTGCCCCCGGGAGCGGGCGCAGAGTGGACACGAGCCCGGCTGAGAGAGCTGGCCAGGCATGCTGGGGTCCACAGGGACGGCACCCCATTGACGCATTCCCGGGTCAAGCCTCTCCCTAGAGATTCCCGAATAAGGTCACCGAGAAGTGGCAGCGTAAGGAGCCAAGAGAAGGAGAGACGAGGCCAGTGTTTGGGGGAAACACACTTTATTGTTTGTGGGGGTCAGGAGGCTCTGGCGGGCTGGGCTCACTGGCTCCCCCCGGAGCAGGCCGGCGCTCCGTGGCTCTGTTTGTGGTAGTCCGTGGCGATGTCCCCTATGACGGACAGGAACTCGGAGAACTCGATCTTCTTATCTTTGTTCTGGTCCTTATCCTCGAAGATGTGGGACAAGTAATCTTTGCCCTTTTTGCCCTGTGGGAGAAGATGCAACACGAGACAAGTTCATCCCCACGTGCCGGGGGGTGGAATGGGAGGGGGCGGGGGCGGAGCCGGGACAGAGGGACCTGGGGCTGCGGAAGAGGGGGCACTGGAGGAGCACAGGGCGGGGGGTGGTGTGAGCATCAGCCTGAGCTCCCTGAGGGGGAGTCCTTGGCCCACACGCCAGTGTGACTGAGGGACCCAGGCGGGGTGCGTGTGCTCTGCCCAGAGCCGTGCTGACCAGTGACCTGTGGGTGGGTGGTCTCCAGCCGGAACCCCTCCCGGCAAGGGCCCCAACAGCCCGAGCTCCCCCCAGGGACCCACATGCGGCCTCACCCCGTGCCCGCCCTCCTCTGCCCACTCTCTACCCCTGAATCATCCCACCCTGAGGTCCCTCTACGCGCCCGCCCAGTGTCTGTGTCCCTCATAACGGCCACTTAGTGACCAGTTCAGACCAATCTAATTGTCAGATGGAATCAGCTCTGTGAATGAGCTTTCCCGTCGTCCAGAAAGGTGGTCAGTTCTGTCACCACGTGACCCCCATCACCTGCCTCTGGTCTCAGGAGGCCAGCGGGAGCCTCTAGAGGCAGGGCCTGAGCTCATGGGCCCCAGGCTCCTGGAGGCAGTGGGGCGGGTGGAGCGCCCTCCAGTGGTGGCACCGTGCAGCCACCTTACAACGACCGTTTGCAGCCAACTTGGCCACACATGTCATGTCCCACATCCCGATGACAAGCCAGCATATGAAGCCCACGAGGCCCTTTGGCAGATGTGACTAGTGAGGAGGGGAGACTGGGAGCGCCCTGTCCAAGGTCACACGGCAGAGCATCCTCGGCCACGCCGGGTCCTTGCAAGGCGGGCAGCCGCCCTGACTCACACAGGCGCTGAGGAAGGTGGGGAAATTCTCCTGCAGCATCTTGGTCAGGCCCGGCTCGTCGATCATGTCGTCGGGTTTGGTGTACGTGTGGAACAGCTCGATCATGTCCATCACGGCCTTCTCAGCCTGCGTGTGGCTCATCGTGGCTTTGGAAGAAGCTGCCAGAGAGAATGACGGGACCTCGGTCACCCTTCCCCACTGCGGTCCCTAAGTCAGGACAACGGGGTGACACTGGGGGCCAGTGCGGGAGGCCCAGGTGGAGCAGAAGGACCTGTGTCCCCTAGGAGGTAAGTGACCTGCTCAAGGGAGGAGGGCGAGACCAGGCCTGGCACCGGGGCCCAGGCTGGTCGGGTTCCCGGAGAGACAGAGGAGGACACAGGAGCCCACCGTGGACAGGGCCACAGGAGGGGGAAGAGGAGAGGGTGGGGTCAACCACACGGAAGGTGACAGAAGCCTGAGGGGGGCCCCGGGCCAAAGGCAGCCTGTGGCAGCCCACACTCCAATATTTACAGTCTTCTCCCCCAGTGCCAACGTCGAGGTCAGAGTTGGGGACAAACACGGCCTTGCTGCTCTTGTCCGAACCTCCTGGCTGCTGCGGGACATGACCCCCTTGGGTCAGCTCACCTTGAAGCAGGTCTGCATGGAATGCGCTGGGGGCCGCATGAGTGCCAGCAGAGAAGCAGGCCCTGTCCCCAGTCCTGACCAGGCCTCCCGGACCATCCCCGCGAGAGAGAAGGATGGAGGGCTGGAGTTAAAGCCAGCACAGGTCCCTGTCCGGGCTCTCAGGCCGATGGTGGGTGGGGCGTGGGCTGCTTCGGCCTCTCTGCTCCGGGTGCCTCCCCGCTCACGGGCGACCAGGCTAGAGCCCGTTAGAGTCAGGAGCCGCCCGATGCCCAAAGTTGGTGACCCCCCAGCACCATGGACCCCCAGATGGAGGAACGGGTGGACGGCCTCACAGCCAGACGCTCAAGCACCCAGGACCTGCATGGCTACCCGCGTGGGCGTTCCACACTGCCACCAGCGCCTCACGGTCCGGCAGATGGTCCCTGATGCTATGTCGCTAAGTGGAACTGACCAAGGCCATCTGTCAACGTGCCAGGCCAGAGCTGAGCCCCAACGTGCCAGGCCAGAGCTGAGCCCCGCACCAGAAGGCCACCGGGCACTCCCCTCGCTAAGAGCAGGTGGGGACCGGTGCTTGACGGGTTCCCAACCACGTAGAGTCCGGCCATCTCACAGGCAAGGTGGTGGGGGCCAGCCCTGAGGTCAGGAGGGCCGTGCTGGTGGTGGCAGGGACCCCCACTCCCCCGAGGTTGGGGTGCAGAGTGGGCCTTCGGAGACCAGAGACTGCCAGGCAGGCGAGTCCGGACAGGAGAGAAGACCAGGGGGACAGGACAGCCGTGTCCTCAGCTCCCACCGGGGACACTTCCCCAGAGCTGTCACTGCAGAGCCAGCCAGCTTTGGGGACAGTCTGGTCCGGTCACCTGGCCGCGGGTGACACCGCAGCGGGGGGAGTCACAGCCCCGTAGGGGGCAGAGCCCAGCCTGGACCCCGGCCCCGAACCCCCCGTCGCTGCCGTGTCCCCCCCTGGCACCGCAGAGCACGCTGTGCTCTGAGCGCTCGTCCTGGGCGAGGCCGGTCGGGCCGACTTACCGGAGCGGAGCGGGGATCACCAAGGGAAGGAAGAGTGAGATGTGCTTCTGGGCGACACCGGTCCCTTTATGAGGCTCGGCCTGGCTCCTCCCCGGGGCCGGGGCCCTGGGCCTCGGGCGCCGTGTGCTTCCTGGAGCAGGGCCCACTCAGGTGGGCGGGACACGCCTAGGAGTGTGTGCTCAGCCTTCCCGGTGAAACCCCAGGCGCTTCCCTCCCAAGGGACAACACCTAGAGCCTCGTCCTGTCCCAAACTCGATCTGGCTCCGGGAGGCCAGGAGGATGTGTCACAACGGGACAGGACATTGGGCAGAGAAACTGGGTTTTGGACCTCAAGAGGACGGAGTTCCGAGTCTGAAGGCCAGCGTGTCCCGCTGGCTCCTCCCCCGCACTGCCACCGTCCGTGCTCGAGTCACGTGGCTGCCCCCCCTGCTTACACCCTCGACACGCGCCAGGCGCATGGTGCCCGCCACACACATTCCTCCTTGACCTTCGTGACCCTGTGACATGGCACTGTCCCCTCAGGTCCAGCAGGGCAGCAAAGGTGTCAGGACTAAAGCCCATGTCCCCGTGTGGAAAGCCACATCTCATCCCGGACGAGCCTGACT